CTCCAGTCGTGCTCCTTGCTGCTCTTGCTGTGGTTTTTGTACACTTCCACTCTGTACTGCCTCACCAGCAGCAAGTCTTTCGCAAAGGCCTCAAAGTTCAGCTTGCTCAGCACCACACTCTCCAGCCTGCGGCTCCCTGCACACCAACAACAAACAACAACAATAACAAAAACTTACTTTAAAGCAGCACACGGCAGCTGGCAGGACCGCAGATAATGGCTGCAGTTGTAGCAAGCTTAATCTTAAACTCCACTAAATGCATCAACAACACGCAGCTGAATTAGCTCTCTAGACAGCGAATCCCAGCATGCAAGCTTCAGCTAGCTACTAGGCTATAGAGATTACCTGAGCCCAAATATTTGATGACGCCATTCGTCTTGAAAACCTCCTTCGCCGCGAATATGGCGTCTTTTCCGTGAACGGTGTAGTAGTCGTTGCGGTCGAATATCCTGAAAGTGGTGTCCGGTTTCTCCGGCATGGAGAAAATGAAGTGTAGAAAGCCATGCTCGGCTGCACTGTCCATGGACAGGTTGTGTTTCGGCTGCACCGCCATGCTGGAATCTCCCGCCACCACTGGGGCCAAACAGGAAACGACGTTCTTCTTCTTTGAGTTTATTAGCGGGTCGCAAAACGGACCTGAAAGGTGTTATAGCGCCACCTGATGTAGAGTGTGTGTAGATTGGTTGTAACTAAATAATGGAATAACAAAACCAACAACAATTTGTTATTTTAAAATCCACAGAAAGGAAATAAATATAGAAATAAATATGTTTCAATACAACCAGTTTTTAGAAGATTTAGAAGATTTTCATATCCAATGGCACTATAAAACATGTAGCCTGGAGTGGCTAACATCATAAAATATTCACTCAACAATATACAAATGATAACATTAAATAATGTTGTCTATTTACAGGAATTATTGTTGGTTTATGATTACTTTTAGAATTTGTTTTAGCATTATTTTCGGTCTTTGGTTCTTTAGTTGCGATGGTTTGTTGTTGCACTGTGGTTTAGGCGACAACAGACACATTAATGCTGCTTGGATTGAATGGAAGTAAATATACTTAATAAAGAACAGCAAGAAAATAAACATGTATAACTGTGTAGGAGAAGATTTTCTCGAGAACTTGTAATCTCAAGATAACAAAGTGGGACTTGAACCGGCGACCCTCCGGTTCCCAAGTCCCTCAGACTGAGCTACTGCCTCCCCATTTATCTCAGTCAGGATGATATGACTGCACCGTGATTTCAAAAGATTTGTTGTTCTTGCTAAAAATGACTGCGTATCACATTATTCCACCAGTTTCTTGGCTAATGAAATAATGGATGTCCTTTCACAGCCATCTGATCTCAAGAAAGAAAGAGTTGAGCCTGATTGATCACAAAAAAAACATATTTTTCTCTGAATGTTTTCATATATTTTATATATTGGCCATAAAGAAGAGGACCCACTCTAAAAACTGGTATAGTCTTATGACATCGAGTACTGTGAAGCTACAGTATAATCAAGATAACTATCAATTAGAATAAATGCATTAACCTATTGAAATGTTCATTTTATCTTCTCTGTTTTCAGAGTGGGTCTATGTACAAAGTACAAATCAAAACAGTTGACAGAGAGGTTTGTGTAACATTTAGATTAACCAGGACATCATTTTTCGACTTAATTTCAGAGGTGGATATCTCCAAACGTGGCAGCCTAAAAGCGCCTCCTGGCATTTGTTAATTACCACTAATCACAAAGAACAGCTGAGACTGATGGGATTGTCATTAGGTTTGCATTTATTTAGTCATAAACCATCAAAGTTTTTGCTGATGGCACTTGATGAAAAGTGAAGGGAATCAACCAAAGTTATTGCAATTTGTCCTGAGGAGGACAAGAATCGAACCACCTCAAGGTACTAGAGAAAGAGTATTGCCAAAGTCATGAGGATACATCATCATCTGGGAACAATGAATGAATCAAATGATGTGCAGTAGATGTAGAGGAATTTCTCTGGATAAGGGAAAGCTTTAACATTCTGGTGGCGCTAAAGGAGAAGTCAGGAAATCATCACAGTCAGTAAGCTTCATCCTCTGGGGACCATTAATGTCTGTGCAAGATTTCATGGCAATCCATTCAATGGTTGTTGAGATATTTCAGTCTAGACCCAAAGTTGCCACATTGCCTTAAAACCACAGTGCATGGCTAAAATCATGTATTTAGTGACATTCAGCTGACATTCAGTAGGAAAAAGAATTGAGAAAGAGGATTAAATGAGATCTTGGAGGACCTGATGACTAAACACAGATCAACCTATCAGATATCAAAGAACATACAGTATGATAAAAATGTTACATTTCCTGTATGGACAATGAAGGACTAGGAGGTTGCAAACTGTCCTTTCACACCAATTCACGAACTGTAAATTACGCCACATGCAGGACGACAGTAACTCTGAGCCATCACAGAGGTTGAAGAGTGAAGAGACTGTGGTTAAGACCCAAACTGAATGCCAAAAATATAATAACAATGCCAAAATGCCAGGGTTAGATTAAATATATTTCTGCCACCCCTTAAAGTCTCTATGCCGTCCTTTTCTCTCTCATTAATATTTCTCTAGATCCACCCCTCTGTAGAACATTACCACTGTACTACAAATAATGTCAATTATGGCAATGACAAACAATGAATTATATCCGATATTAACGATATGTTACTACTCTATTAAACTCTGTATTGACTGCTTGCTTTGTATTGGATTTACAACTCATAAAACAAAGCTTCCTCCCATCAGGCTATTTTTGTTGCAGTATCATAATCAATCAATCCATTCAATTTATTCTCCTCCAAGGGGGAAATTCATGTCCACATCACTGCACCATACCAACACAATACACTCAACAAACACGCCATCCACAATTAACAAATCCACAAAGAGAAACAAACAAACAATCAAATAAACAATACATGACAGGTTACACACTCAGCTCCCCCATTTGTTTAGAGCAGCAATAGCTTGTTGTTGCAATCTATTTCATACAATTGTCTCAGGTAATGTGCTGCTGTGTGTCCAGACTGAAATATCTCAACAGACTGGATAGATGGCCTTGAAATCTCATACAGACGTTCATAGTGCCCAGAGGATGAAGCTGAATGAATTCGGAGATCCCTTTGCACCAGAACATTGTGGCTCACAGTGAAATATCTTGACAAATATTGGCTTGAGGCGGCTATTAAAGGCCCCCAGTTTTCTGATGTAACGACACTCTGGTTAAGGTTTGGTTGGGTTTAAGCACAATCAAATAAATAATAAAATAATAAAGTACTTTGTCATGAGTAAGGAAACTCAAAATTGTGGTTTGGGTTGCAAACAATGAGCTTCAAGTCAAGTCAGGTCAATTTTATTTATCTAACCCAGAATCACACATCACAATTTGCCTCAAGGGGGCTTCACAAAAAGGAAGAAACCTCAGGAAGAACAACAGAAGAGAAGAAATAAATCACAGCTTATACGAAGTTTGATGTTAAAAATACAGATATATAAATTATAAAACATAAGTGAAGGGTGTGGATTCAAATTCTGCAATCATATGTTATCATCTTTCAGTAGAGGAAGAAGTATTCAATAATTTCCTGAAAGTACTAAAACTACAATGTGAAAATACTCTAAATGGTATCAAACATGTAATTAACAGCAAAATATACTTGAAGTATCAAAAAGTAAAAGTACTCCTATGATGCAGTGAAATGGCTTCTGTCAAAGTTTTAATAAGATGATGTTCTGCTGCATTAATGTGTATGTTGCATTTTACTACTTTATATACTGCTTTAGTTTAATCTACACCAATGTCTCATATTCTATCACATGTCTCTAAAAAGTCAGTTTTCAGCTTTGTGACAATTTATTTTCCAGCTAATCAAAGACAGTTTTAAATATAAATATAAAAATAAGAAGTAATGACCCATGAAGTAACACGTTATCCTTTAATTTATGAGAAAAAAAATCTAAATCACCAAATTTTGAGGATACGTGGTTTTAACTGGATGGTAAAAAAAAAATGTTAAATCACAAGTAATTATTGTGATTAGGTTACAGCATCATTCTGTAATTAAGCAATAAAATTGTGTATTTGAATTACTTTGTACTAGAGTATTACTGTATTACTATAAAATATTGTGAATTTACAATAACTACAATGAGTATTAGAATAGAATATTATAATTTCACGTTAAATTACTTTATTTTTACAGTAATACTGTGACCGATAACTGTAGAAACACATTACTGTGATTTTCATGTTTATTACTGTAAAATAATTTTAAAGTGCAGTAAAAAGTACAACATTTTCCTCTAAAATGTATATAGGCCTATAGCAAAAGTAAAGTAAAGTAAAGGTAGACCTACTTCATTTTTGTACTTGAGTAAATGTAGGCCTTCTCCACCACTGGACATTTGTCATGTTTGTCTAACAATATAAACAAATAATACAATATTAAGTACATAAATAAATATATAAATTGCTTAATTGATACTGAAAATAGTTGCATCTTTAAAAGCCTCAATATTCATACATCAGTCCCACATTGACCACACTGATCTGTATGCCTGTATTGTGTGTTTTCCATGCATTGTTAAGGATACACCCTGTGGCTTCTTACCAAAGACTGGATTTAAGGAGGTTCAACTCATAAGAGCCATATAACAGGCAGAACTGCACAGCGATCACGTCCGAGCTCCACGTGAAGTCATGAGCCTTGAGTTAGGGTTAGAGATCTGGTCCAGGTTTCTAGTAAAAAGTGAGTCCAGAACCAATGGACGGAGACTGGTGATGATGCGTCAAGTGATGGGATGCAGAACAATCGATTGCATGCCCTGCTCGCTTTGGGAGGGAGGAAGAGGAGGGGGGGTGCTTTGTAATGACATTTAGGGCTGCTGACGAAATTAAACGTTACGTAGGAGGCACCTTGACGAATGAGGAGCGGGTGCGCACGCGGCGCTGGGTATAGGGTTTATAAACAGGGGGGACAGGAGCAGCCTGCCAGAAACCAACTCAACTCCAGGACCTCTCTCATCTGCTGCTTCTCTTCTCATCCAGAGTCCAAAGAAAAACGCGCTCCGACACGAACATGAACGGCCACTGCAACGGGAAGGTCGGCGACACCGTGGAGGAGTTCCACTGCAACAACAGCTTCAGCGACCTCATCATAGATACCAAGAAGTCGTCCGCCGTGCACCGCAAGCACGAGACGTCCCGCAAGGAGGCCGAGGACAAGTCCCGCTTACCTGCGCTCGAGGCCGCCTACACGAGCATCCTCCGCGAGCTCGGGGAGGACGCGGACCGGCAGGGGCTGCTGCGCACGCCGCTGCGCGCCGCCAAGGCCATGCAGTTCCTCACGAAGGGCTACCATGAGACCGTGGACGGTGAGTCAAACAGGTGTGTCCTCTCTGTGGGCTTCACACTGGAGGATGTCTGTCTCCTATCTGGTTATCAATTAATTGGGAAAAAGTGATTAGAAAAAAAACAGAAACTTATGTAATTGTTATATTTCAGAGAGGTGTTCATTTAACTTTAATGGCTGTAATACTTGTTTCAGATATTTAGTTTGTATATGAACACCTTTATATGATCTAGGACTTAATGTCCAATAGAAAGAAGCAGTCATGTATTATTTGGGGCAGGGCTTTTGACTGATTAGATTCCTAAATCTGGTAGATTACAGCTGCCATAAAAGATGTTCAGAGTAGCAACAATTAGGCAATTTACAGAAATGAAAGTGGCAGCAATTGTGATAATTGATTAAATCCTTTAAGTTATTTTTAATTAGATTTTAAGTATTTATGTCTCAGTCTTCCATGATCATAGTGTATATTGACTATCTTTAGGTTTTGGACATTCAAAGACGTCTTCTTGATGGACATTTTTCACAGTTTTTTTATATTTTCATTTAAATGAATCGTTTAATTAGATGATGTTTCTTGTGTGTGTGTTTGTGCCCCCAGACATCTTAAACAATGCCATATTTGATGAAGACCATGACGAGATGGTGATCGTGAAGGACATAGACATGTTTTCACTGTGTGAACATCACTTGGTGCCTTTTTTTGGAAAGGTAAGTCTATGTGTGTGTGTGTGTGTGTGTGTGTGTGTGTGTGTGATTAGACAGTGCACATCGTGTGTTTGTGGGTTCAAAGAGACTAATAGATAGATCTTAATAAACTGACTTGAAACACTGTATTTGTGCAAGCTTGTGCATGTGGATGTTACTGTCCTATGTTTCTGCTTATGAGCTGCTTGTGTGTGTGTGTGTGTGTGTGTGTGTGTGTGTGTGTGTGTGTTTAAAAGCCAATATTGCCAATATTTACAATCCTTTACCCTGGGTATATGACTTCTGCTCTCACTGGCTGCCATCTCTCTCCAGGTCCACATCGGGTATATTCCCAACAAAAAAGTGGTGGGACTGAGCAAGCTGGCAAGGTAACACACACACACACACACACACACACACACACACACACACACACACTCCTGCTGCCACTGTGGCTGTATGTTTCTGGTGTTAGTGCCGGGTGGCTGCGTTCTTCTGTTATCTCAGTGCATTGACCTGGAGGCTTAAGTCTAAGCCCAGTGGCCATCATCTAGTCCCCTCATCAAGCACACTCACAGACACAAATCTAAACTCTATCTGCCCTCGAGCCATGAGAAAATCCCTTCGGACCTGTGGGAATCAGCTGTTATTATCACAGCCTCTCTGTCTGTCTACTTCTTTCCCTTTCCTAAAATATCACACCATCTCTGAACATACAAACCCAGAATAACAGTAGCAGAGTCACCGGGTTTGTAGCTGTTGTTGAATCTTGCACGACAGATTCAGAGAATTCAGAGAGAGGCCAGGGGTCACAGACTGATGCCAGTTTGTGTTTATCAAGAGATTAATCATTATTACGTCTGATCTGTAATCTCCTCTCCCACTTTGCTTGTGTTCTGGCTTCTGTAGGATTGTGGAGATCTTCAGTCGGAGGCTTCAAGGTACGAAACCAAAGAAATGATGCTATATAACCACAACACTTTTCTTCTAGTTCACACAAGAATTTTTTATGCAGTCTCGTTTATGTCATATTATTTTTGTTTCTTTCAGTTCAAGAGCGTCTGACCAAGCAGATTGCCATGGGAATATCAGAGGCTCTGCAGCCAAAAGGTGTAGCTGTGGTTATTGAAGCAGCGTAAGTACACACACACACACACCTTCATAATCATCATTTGAATGAGTTAAAGCTGCCCTACAGGCACAATGTAAAAAGGTCATGAATCAATAAAGTGAGTGTTGGTACATGCTGTTTCCCTTATTTGAATGTTCCTCACTCCTCGCTTTAGCTGTATCACGTTAGAAAGACAAATAATAGAACCAAGTACAGTATCTGTGTTGTGTGACCAACAAAAGAACCATTAATGTCCTATTTACTAGAAAGCTTTCTCTGTTCATGATCAGTTATGTCCCCTTTTAATCTGTATCATAGATGAAGGTATAATCAGGGAGAGAAGGAGAGTCAGTTGCTGTTGAGCCATAAACTAAATTTCAACTGTCATTTCTATTCAAAACCTCTGCAAGTCAAAAAGAAATTAGTTTGATGCAAGATATATTTATGTAATCTAGACTTTCCCTAAAACATTTCTTCAAATTCTACGAAATTCTAATCATAACCTGAGTTGTTAAATAATTAATTTACACACAGAATATCAATGCATCCAGATGGAAATAATTATTAAATAGAAACATATTCTGCTACTATAAATGTCTCGCAGGTATTCAGTATCTGAGCAGCTCGGTCCACTATAGTTCGAACTGATGTGCACACAGTCTAAATACAGAATCGTGCAAGTTTAAAAGAAATGTGGATGCAACTAAGGGAAGTGACATGTACCCTTCCTCGTGTAACTTTTAGAATTAGCACAATCTTTACAATCACACACTCCTGCTCAGTTTCTGCAACTTAGTCTGGTACGATCAGTTGCTTTTGGTTTCCAAATGTTAGCTACTTTTAGCAATCTTAAGCTTACTGAGCTAGAGCCAGAGCGGTTGTTCAACAAAATGTACATAATATTAACAGTTTAACAGATAATTACACGTATCAATGCAGCAACACCAAAAACATGGCCTTTTATATCCCCCCCCCCATCTTCTTTATTGTCCAGATCTGTCTTCAGCCCCAACCAACGCCGACTTTATCGAACTTTTTTCACATATTCCTGTACAATAACAGACTTTGATGTGCAAAATTGGTGGAGTTCCCCTTTAAACACGCGTTGTACGGGTCAAAGACTGTCCTCAAAGCATGTCATCTGCTGCAGCTGCAAATCTAACCCATGTGTGTGTTTTTTCAGGCACATGTGTATGGTCATGCGTGGTGTCCAGAAGATGAACAGCCGCACAGTGACGAGCACCATGTTGGGAGTTTACCTAGAGGATCCCAAAACTCGGGAGGAGTTCCTGACTCTTTCACAGCACGCCTAACAGATAGTTACACACCATTCACTCCCGAGCCTCTCTATACAGCATCACACAGAAAGCTCTAGAGTAACAGCTGATCCGCATCTGACTTTTAGGAGAAAAAAAAAACACAAACCTGTAGCAGGAAACATAACGCTGCTGTTTGATGCGGGATCCAAGCAAAACTCTGGGGCTCACCTCAATACACTAAAGGCTGATTTCAGTCCTTCAGAAATCCGCCATTTGGAATCACTGTGAACATAATAGGAAATATATGACTCACATTCTTGGTGCCTTTGGTAGATATTTTACAGTCTTACACGGCAATATTGTTGTTATGAAGTATGAAACCTGAGTGCAATGTTGTAACATGACAATACTTAAGATTTTCTCTTTTTTTAAGGGAAATTCATTGGTGCTTTGGCAAAGTGGTATACCTTTCCTCGCTTTATTATTGTATTTAGAATCCACTGATTCAAATAATTTAACAAATTATGTGTCATTTATAAATACATTTATAAAGTCTTTGTAATATATATTGCATTTTTAAGATACAAATCAAATTATTATCTATGTGGTTCAAAGACCTGAATAAATTATGTGCTGAACGGATTTTTGATTTATCAACAATCAATGTAGCGTGTATTTTAAAGATTCTTTGCTTAAATAAAATGACAAACATTATGAAAGTTGTGAACCTTACTTTGTGTATGTCAGTAACAGACAATGTTTCAGTGTATTATGTTTGTTTCATGAATGATATTATGAAAGAAATTCTTACTACATACTAATTGTGATATATATTTGAGGGCTCCCCTCACTCCACTGCTTAGTATCAGCACATCTTGGAACTTCAACCATAGTGACCAAAATGATACCAGAATAAGAAACAGGTACTACCCACAACTTCTCATAATGGAAAACCAAAAAAGAGCAAATAGAGTTGAGTTGTGCTGAGTGGAAACACACCTGCTGGTGGCGCTGTAGGGAGAGTCAGGGGTTCAGTAGGCTGTGAGTGTCAGTACAAACTTAATTAATCCATAAAATAGTAAAAAATTATATTTCAGTTTGGACCCAAGTGGTAAACCAACCAACAGACCGACAACGGCATCCCTAAAAAGTCAATATACAGACAAAATATACATCCAAACTGCAGAGTCACTTTATATTGTATATAATAAATCATGTGTTCTGTTAGTATGTAGTATGGACTTTATATGGCATCAGTGTCAAGCATCATCCGTGTGACATGAGCACTGCGTTGAGACTTTATACTGATCCCCCTGAATGCACCACAACACAGTCTAACAGGAGCAGAAGGGCAGTGATATAACAAGCAAACTAGAGAATCCAGAATTAAACCTTTCAGGGGCACTGCTCTGTAGCCGGAGACTGGTGCTGTTTTCGTGCTGTGGTACAACAGCATAAATCAATAATGAGACATAGTGTGTGCACATGTGGTTGAAGGCCTGAGGGAGAGCAAGGCCTTTAAATATCAAAGGAGGAGCCTGACGTCAGACAACCTGTGAACTATAACCTCTATCTGTGACAGCAACAGAGGGGGGGGGAGACACAACTGAGTGCGTAGCATGCAGTTTCCAGATACGATTATGTAAGGGTAAACCAATTATTACAGGCATACAGGATAAATATGGGTATGTTGTGCGTAAGAGGCTAAAATTGTATCCGTTATAGCCTCGGGGAGGTACAAAATAATCCTGTCAAATGTCCTTGTATAGAATGCTTTAATTCACTCAAAAACGCAACGCTTGATATATTACATACAGAAATCAAAATTTTTTAAAAAGCAACAATAGTGAATTTAAAATATACAAAAAAAACACAACAACTGATAACTGGTGGTGTGTTAAGAGAGGACGGTGCTTCCCTGTTTATGGCCACTGTAATAGTTCCAGTGGCATTATATGATAGTAAGAGGGCAAAGCCACCTCCAGATCTCTCTCTTTCACACAGGTGGGAAGGAATAAAGAGTTATAGCTGTCCATGGCAAAACATTGTGGAAAAATGCTGAAAATGTGACAAGATGACAAACATGCACCATCAGTCTCATCCTCACATCCGTTCTTCACTCGTTCACTGATCGGCACACTGTCACACAGATGTCTGTTTGTAGTTCTTGGTGTCCAAAACTTTCTTTCCACACATTGCACAGATTCCTGAAGAGACAAAAAAGGAGGGGAAGAGAAAAGACATGAAAAAAATATCAGTAGAGAGAGAAGAGTAATGTCACTGTATGTACATTTGCAGGCTTGTGCTTCTTAACTTGAAATCAAACTATTTTTGACGATCCATTTTATAATAGATAATAATAATAATTAATAAATACACATGATCAGCTGCAAAATGCATATGGTGAGGTCCTTTAAATTTGAAACATACAGGTAATATCGTCCTGCCTCCGCACGATATGAACTGGAGACGGTGTGTGAAACTTTTCTGTTTTAAGCTCCCTACATTAAAGTCAACATGTGGAAAATTAAAAAAAATAATAAATCATCCAGCTGTTTCAGTGGCACATTCAAGCTTGTTAGGTTTGCGATTAGGGGACAGGTTGTTGGAGTCCACTGAAGTCACTGTCATGTTTACTGAACCATTTGGCATTGCACTTGGACCTACAGCTTTATCTGGCCTAATTTTCTGCAGCTGAGACTCAAGGTTCATCAAGATATATGCTTTTTGAGATGCCTGCTTATTTGGATTTCATCACTCCAAATGTTAGACATTGAAGTGTTCCGGCGCCAGCAAATAGACTACATTCAAACAAACCTATAAAAGTGACTTAACCTCTTGATTCTGGCTGCAGAATCAATGCTCTGCTGTATCTATGCATGCCTGTTAATCAATATTGCTCCCTGATGTTAAAGAGTTTTGATCATCCAAGTATAAAAAGCTACAGATAAGAGTAGAAATTGTCTTTTTTTTTGCAATCTAGGTGAACCAACGTGCTGTTTGTCACAGGGGATGACACAGATATGTTCAGACTCTAAATTGGTATTCCCTGTGAAGAAAGAGTGTGAGAGTGGCTGCCCCCTTTTCAAGCTTGTCTCTGTTACTGTCACTGTCTGTCTACTCTTGGTCAGACAGTTCATTTACCCCGTATACACCTCGTTTCATCCGTGCACAAATCTCAAACATGCTACTGTGGTTTGCCATAGAGCAAACTCACTACTGACCACATAAAACTCATTCTGACCCATTATGGAGTCCAGTGTAAGTGAGTTAATACCTTTCTTGTATGCACAGCCCTGACAGTAGTGTGATCCGGACTGATGAACTGAGCTCTTGCAGATCCTGCAGGTAGCAAAGCCTGTCTTGCTGTAGGGGTCAAACCTGAAAGGGACAAGGATCACAGATTGATAACTAGAACTAACTAAATTTAAGCCATGCAAGTAACACGGCAACATATGAACATACTAAATGTTAACGTGCAAGAAAACACATTTTTGTGACTTCTTATAGATAAAATCAGAGACAATGATGGTGATATTTTCTCATAAACAGTCAACTAACATTTTGATTTAAAGTCGAGGTACTCACCTGGCTTTCTTAGAGGTCAGGATCTTGTTTTCATTTAGCTTACGACCACCACCCTCTGAGTGAAAGAAGCATAAAGAACTGCATTAAACATCCTCATCCAAGTAACATAACATCATAAGACGGCATAAATTACAAATAGTATAAAAGATGTATGATTTAATAAAAAAAAAAAAAGAACTTTAAGTGTGCGGTAAGAAAAAACGCGTTGATCAAAACCCCCCAAAAAAGGGGGTCTAGCTTGTTTTTGGTAATCAAAGTAGTTATTATTGATTGAAGTTTTCAAGCAAACATTTATATCGATCAGTGATAAGAATTGAGTATCATTTTAAAAACAAAACAAAGGAGGTTTCATGTTTGCATATCCAACATTAAACATCATCAAGCCAGCGAGATGCAGCAGTAGATTGCTGATTGTTGTAGAAGTGTTTTGGCCTCTCTTGGAAGTTTTATTAAGTTTTAAGCTAAAGTAAACCTACATAATGTCACAATTTACTGAACAGACCAGAAAGATAAAGGATCAACTTTCTATGTCAAACTGCAACAAAGCAGATTGAGACTGAATGTGTCCTCCTGTTAGTCTGTCAGATATAATCAGTCAACAACAATCTTTCAGCTTCAAACTCATCACATTTCTCAGTAATTTACAGCCTGATTTATATTATGAAGAAAGCTTAAGGTATTTAAATTCCAAAACCTGACCCCAATTTAATCCTACGTATGATCAACCACGTTTAATTGTCACTGAATCTGCGTCCTAAGTTCACCTGTTGTATTCCGTGCTCCATCCTTCCAGGTGTCAGGTGTGATGACTTTACCGAGCTTCTTCTCGCCTGAAATAATAAGTAACACAACATTTTGTGGAGTAAATAAAATGATTATTGACCCCAAACAACAACGAGGACAGTAACATAGCATAACGTTAGCTTCCGTAGAGCCTCCAGTGTTAACCTAACTGAAGATAGAAAGCATCCGAACATTGTGATACATACACTTTTCACAAACCATCTTTTCCCTGTTTGTTTAAACCGATGCCTTTCAACGTTTGGTCAGAATAAAATAAAAAAAAATGTTAGCTTTCGCCTTAGCCAACTGGGTTAATGTTTGTAAACTTCCGGTCGTTTTTTTCCTCTCTCTCTCTCTCTCGCCAATTCGCGGAGATTGATTGGTCGAAACTATAGCAAGCTCGAATCTCATTGGCTGATACTACTGTCCGTCACATAAAGTCCCGGTAAAACTTCAATGCCCTTCTGTGATTGGTTAGAGGATGCTTTCTACGTCCGTAAAGATTCCTACAAAATAAAACTGCTGCAAATTCGTATATATATATATAGAGATTTTTTTTTTTGTCAAAAAGAGAGCAAAATTAAATAGATATATCCTGTTAACTAAAACCAGCCTGACGCAGTTTCAAGAACCCACAAACTAAACCTACACTTCTGTTTTTATTTAGACTATAGTCCCATTAAATTAATGTACAACACTTTCCTAGAAATTCTACAACTAAATAGTAGATACATTTGACAATGAAGTTATATTCTTAGGAGAAATAGATACACAAAAAATGCTCAGATAAATAAATCACACAAGGTGGAACCCCCGTGCAACACTGAACTAGCAAAATATATAAAAACTGGTGAAAAATACTATGTTATTTAATAAAGAAAGAGAGATACAGAGTTTTTTTTTCAATTGTACAACTGGTTTTATTAATGGGAAAATGCCACATACATGATATAGAACAGATTATGCCATTGCAATTAAGTCAGCTCTCTAAAATTAGATTTAAAAAAATCAGAAAATACTATAATATAATTTATAATTATAATGACAAGATTAGCTTCTCAGTTATAAATAACAAAGTCAGTACATGTCAGCTTTAGGAGAAGTTAATATAATTCCATAGCAAGCATAGATTAGAACATGAAACTATAATTCAATCTACCCTGAAAAGACTGCACAACAGCTCTCAGTAAAGGCAGGGAGGACAATAGACAATGGACAATTTCTACCTCCATTTGCACTGTTTACAGTGGCTACTGTGTTAAAAGTTAATTGTTAAGTTAATTTTAATTTTAATGTATGTTTAATGTATGTCTAATGTATGTTTGTATGCTACTGGATGCTTGAATTT